GAAACAATGGAGACTGAGAAAAGGGAATCAGCACGGTGTATACATTTTATAGGGACACAGCATGTTGGTGATGCTCCCTTACATTGGCTGTTGCAGGTTTCTGACTAGAGGTGCCGCAATTTCAATGATGTTATGTATCATATTTACGATTCAAAATTCGGGTGCCTCCGATCCAGTCGGTGACCGTAAGATTATGTCCTTAAACCATTTTCTTCCTGGAGTCCTTGCTTCAACATACACTGCTCAAAAAAAAAGGGAACATTAAAATAACACATCCTAGATCTGAATGAATGAAATAATCTCATTAAATACTCCTTTCTTTACATAGTTGAATGTGCTGACAACAAAATCACACAATTACAATATCAATGGAAATCAAATCTATCAACCCATGGAGGTCTGGATTTGGAGTCACGCAAATCAAAGTGGAAAACCACACTACAGGCCGATCCAACTTTGATGTAATGTCCTTAAAACAAGTCAAAATGAGGCTCAGTAGTGTGTGTGGCCTCCAACGTGCCTGTATGACCTCCCTACAACGCCTGGGCATGCTCCTGATGAGGTGGCGGATGGTCTCCTGAGGGATCTCCTCCCAGACCTGGACTAAAGCATCCGCCAACTCCTGGACAGTCTGTGGTGCAACGTGACGTTGGTGGATGGAGCGAGACATGATGTCCCAGATGTGCTCAACTGGATTCAGGTCTGGGGAACGGGCGGGCCGGTCCATAGCATCAATGCCTTCCTCTTGCAGGAACTGCTGACACACTCCAGCCACACGAGGTCTAGCATTGTCTTGCATTAGGAGGAACCCAGGGCCAACCGCACCAGCATATGTTCTCACAAGGGGTGATGATCTCATCTCGGTACCTAATGGCAGTCAGGCTACCTCTGGCGAGCACATGGAGGGCTGTGCGGCCCCCCAAAGAAATGCCACCCCACACCATTACTGACCCACCGCCAAACCGGTCATGCTGGAGGATGTTGCAGGCAGCAGAACTTTCTCCACGGCGTCTCCAGACTCTGTCACGTCTGTCACATGTGCGCAATTTGAACCTGCTTTCATCTGTGAAGAGCACAGGGCGCCAGTGGTTTAATTTACCAATCTTGGTGCCAAATGTCCTGAACGGTGTTGGGCTGTAAGCACAACCACCACCTGTGGACGTCGGGCCCTCATACCACCCTCATGGAGTCTGTTTCTGACCGTTTGAGCAGACACATGCACATTTGTGGCCTGCTGGAGGTCATTTTGCAGGGCTCTGGCAGTGCTCCTCCTGCTCCTCTTTGCACAAAGGCGGAGGTAGCGGTCCTGCTGCTGGGTTGTTGCCCTCCTACGGCCTCCTCCACGTCTCCTGATGTACTGGCCTGTCTCCTGGTAGCGCCTCCATGCATTTACATGCATGCAGTTACATTGTGTTGTTTAAGTGTTCCCTTTATTTTTTTGAGCAGTGTATATTTGAAAGCCATTGCGATTTCCACCAAGGACGGTTTTTGACATTTTGAATAATTTGCAGTATTTGGCAATTACTTTTTTGCCAGTTAATTATATCTAATCGTCATCCAATTTGAAATGTATAATTATATGATGATCCTGAAAAAGATATTTATTTGTTTTGATATTCTGAATTTAAAATCTCATAATTTTTCAAAAAATGAAATGGTAAAATTTCCTGTAGAAATTACATATTTAATAAAATTCTTGAAGTCATTTAGCAATTGCAACCACATTTAGAAGCCGCATATGTACATGTCAACTCCAAATTATCCTGTCAAATATGATGGCATTTTGGCAGGAGCTACAGAAATTTGAATGGCCATGAATCTGACTGACTCGCTTTTGAACAATGTCATGATATTCCAAGGATTTAGTTCTCCAACATTTTGAATGACTGTCTGTGTGTATTTTGATGCACATCTAACTGATTTTGTAAAAAAGAAATAGGATGATTGCGCAGCCCTGGGTGTCTTATGGCATACAGTAATAGTGTTTAGTATCTCCATCTTTTCCACTCTAACAACAATATCAATTTGTCAGGAAAACTGTGACAATTTACTTTGTACTGTAGTTTGCACAAAATTGAATACAGGCAGTAAATATCTTCTATCTACAGCTTAAATTCAAAAATATCAGTACTGACCTTCAAACACACATATCAGTCAGTAAAAGAACAAGCTGTTAGCATCAAACTTATTTGACAAACATCAGCAGCTTCATGAAAATGGAATCCTTTCTGCCTGTCTCTCCCTCTCTTACATACACACACTGAAAGACCTTTTTGCTTTAGAAACCAACATTAATTTGCACATGAACTCTTACACAACCGCCATTGTCATGGCTGTGTCGAGCCCAATAGAGAGAGGAAAGAGAGGAGCTGAGAACAATGAGCCAAATAACAGAGCTCTATCAGAGTAAACAAATTGCTGCCCAGGTTGATGTGCTGTCAGTGTGTGTGGGAGGAGAGACAGGTGGACACAATGTACTCTTCACCTGGGTTTAAGGGTTCTCCAGGCAGGGATGAGCGAGGCTGGATAGCAGAGAGGCGAGAGAGAGACTGGAAAGCAGAACGGGAGGGCGAACACTCTGCTGAGGCCTCAAAACACTAAGGGTTGCTACAAGTGCCCCAGGTACTACAGAGTGTGTGTATGGGTATATGTCTTCATAGTTCGATTTAGTTGGATATGTATACAGTATTTATTAATATATTGGGTCATTTTCTAAATGTCAGACATTTTACACAAACTCCTCTACAACTGATATGAACATTATTTTCTCGGCATATTCCATTGTTCACTAATGCTTATAGTTAATCAATTCATCGTTTAAAAGTGTTAATGTAGGAATCCTGTCACTGAATAAGTGTGTTACCCTGCCATGTTCAGCTCTTTGTCTTAGCAGACAGTTTAAGTGTGTCTTTATGGTTTAAATGGCATCATCAAGTTTGAATCTCTGTACCCTTTGGGTATACAAAATGTTCAGATTAAAAGACACTGACACAAAATGTCAGTTAACCAAAGCATCATTTTAAATCTTTCAGGTCCAGCTCTTAGCACTTCACATCTCTAGTGTCTATAGAGAGGGGTGACACATTAAAGAAGTACGGTGCTCTGGAGCATCTGGAGCAGCCTCAAAGCTCCTGGACACAGATTCTCCTCACAGATAACTCTAAATTTATCAGGGACACTGGAAGTCTGGCACAGTTTGGGATGAAACTCTAGTGTGCAGTGTAGTTTATACACTTCACTGATAAACCACAGATCTGTACAGTAAAATTAGGCTTCATGATCAAAGCAAGTTTTTATATCACGTTGACTCTTGCTTGACATTAATGAGCGCATCAACTGTACAAAAGGGTGAACATGTTTCAGCAAAAGGCACCTTATACAGCCAAATAGCCAACCTTGTTTATCTTATGGATAAATTTCTTTCTCTATTGTTAGGGCTGCTCAAGCGACCCACAGAGTGACCCGGTGCTACCCATGGCCAGTCGGTGGTTGGATGGTTTACTGTCTTATTTGTTCGCTAATTTAACATACTTTCTTACTTCAACTCCGACTACCCAAGGAGTTCACTCAGTCACAGCTTTGAGGCATCGGCACACGACGATGACTTCGATTGAAACTCCTGGTTGGCCAAGCTTGTAATCAAACCCACCACTGGTTATGTGCTCAGTGTTTCACTTGAAGTTGCCCAGTAAGGATTTAGAATCTCAACCACAGGACATTGGTGTCTAAAAACTTTGACACCAAAGAGGCTGTGGAGAAAACGACAAAATCAGCTGGGGCAGTGCTGGGGCAGTGCAGGTGGGGTATCAAGGCAGCAGTGGCCGCAGGGCATTTCATTTTTAAACTGAGGAGGCACGGTCAGCATGGCCTTCATAGTCCCTGGGCATTCCTGCCCTGATTTGCACATATGTATGCATTTCACTCAAGATGATAAAACACAAGATTAAGCAACATTAGCATCCACTAAATGCATTACCATTCACTGACAGTGTAGGGTGGACTGAGTTCTTAAAATATTTGCTGTTTGAAAGGTCTTACTACATTAAACGGAATTCCCAAGATTATTACAACATCTGGAAGTCCTGTATGAACTTCTATTTACAAACATTGTGTGACAACATGATTTTAATTATTTGAAATGCATGTAGAATATCGTTTACCATATGGGCCATACTTTAAGATGTAAAATGTAAATTTTTTGAAAAATAAAAGCTGTTGCCAAGCAGGTGGTTACCTGTTAGAGTGGTTCTGCAGTTCTCACAATCCTTCTGTCTGTTTCAACAGTCAGAATATATACATTAATCATTGCTTTCTAAACACAATACACACCTTTGATAAATTACTGTAGCATAACAGCCATTAACTTAAATGGAAATTGTTACAGGTAATTATTTTTATTCGATGTACAGCATAATATTACATAATTTTTAGTGGCACATGTGTATTGAAATGTGTAACAACTCATGTAAACACACACACACACACACACACAGCATGACAGACCTGTGGTGCCATGCCAGAGTGGAAAAGCTAGTCGAGCAGAACCCAGGGCAGCCTGGGATCCTGCCAAGCCCAGCTGGGGGCAAAGGAACTGAAGAGAGCAAAGAGGATAGAGGATGAACAGAACTGAAGGAAGAAGGGAGGGAAGGAGGGAAGCAGAGGAAGGACAGGAGCCAGGGGAGTGAAAGGGATTGGAGAGGGCTGGTGCAACATCAACCAACCAACCAAACCTGTTATATCTGGAGAGCAAAGAATCCTGTGTATATAAAAAAGAGGGAGAAAGGGATTTAGAGGGGGATGGTATACATGTTGATGCATGCATGTACGTATTCATGTATTTGTGCTTCTCTCTGTAAGAGGTATGTATTTTGTGTGGGCGTTGTGTGGTTGATATATCCCCCCATATATCAAGTGGTTGATATATGGGGGTGGAGGAGTGGAGTAAAGGGGGCAATAGAGTAAAGCGGAGGGGAGTTGACTCTATAAAATTCTGAATGCCACTAAATCTTTCCATTATCCACAGATAAGGCGATGACAGATGTTTCGGAGCCCAGATCGAATTTAAATCGCTCAAGTTTGGCTGATACTGAGGGGTGAAGAATGAAAACAGATAGTTGGAGACAGACACGGCGAGACAGCAGCCGCAATACTGATATACACAAGCACTGTAAACATTCTTCATCCCTCCCTCCTTCCTCCTTCTGCTCTCAGCTGGAGGGTGTTGCCCGGTTTGAGGAGCTCTGACAGGGTCAAGGGTGAGATGGCGCCGGCCCCGGGCTGATTCTGATGAAGTATGTGTGTTTTATAGATTTGTGCACTTGCATGATATTTTAAGACTGCACAAAGTGTATACAGTAAGTGTTTGTGTTTGTGTGCTGGAACATTTGCGAAAGTGACAGACTGTTGGTGTGTATATTAGCCTGTGTACAACAACTATGTGGGTGTATTTTACTGTTGGTGCTGCAATCAGGTAAAATAAAGTTGTATCTACAAAATGTAAACTTTTCCAAGCCAAAAATTTGATTGTGTATTTTAAATTTGCCCTCTCATCTGACAAATAATAGTCAGTATAATTTAAAAGTAATCTGGACAAAAATGAAAACCATCAGAAACAGCATTTGATGCTAAATCTCCAGTGAAGCCTATACTAATGAAATCTTTTAGGTGGGTTAGCAGCTCCTTGAGGCACGGTGCATGGCAGGATTTACAGACTGACATCCCTGCTGTTGAGTAAAAATCCCTGGAAACAGTTTTATTATTGAATAGACGCTGATGCAACGACCTGCACAGAGGTTGAAAATACACACACATAGCACAAAAATGAATGTAGAGACAATGTTCATAACTGCTCTGTGTATGACTTTTGAAATTAGGAACCGAAATATCTTTTAGTATGGTTTTGAAACTCTTTATTATCTACTCTTATTTTTATGTGAACTTGAACGTTTCTTTTTTTTTTTTTTGTAAAAATGTTAAACTGGTGTTGAACTTGGCTAAAGTCAGCATGATGAAATGCCTCCAGAGAGACATACTCACACAGCACATTGAGGTAGTTCTCTGCTCTGGTAAGATATTTGATATTAGATCAATAACAATCAGTAAAATTGTAGACTGTACACTGGTGTGTTAAATGTTCAATTTGTCAATCAAATGCCACAATTGCAAAAACCCAAGATTGGAAGGTCCTATGAGGTCCTTTAATCCAAGGATTAATAAATTAATATTTTCTGGGGATGTAAAAGGACTGTTGACATCAGTAATGTTTCTATACACAGGCCTACATTTGTGGCATCTTCAGTTGAGAAGCCCAAAAAATTACAACTGTCAATGCTTAGAAATTTGTAACCAATTTCCACTATCTGTGGATAGATATTTCCTGCAGTTAACAGGCAGCTATTCATTTCCATTCATTTATGTACCGGATTAAATCAAATGTCAGCGCTCAAACTTGGTTGAGTTAATTAATCCATCACATCAAGCCCAAATTTAATTTATTTTTGCTTACAGCCCAACACCATGCAGGACGTTTGGCATTTGCCAGAGAACACCAAGACTGGTAAATTCGCCACTGGCGCCCTGTGCTCTTCACAGATGAAAGCAGGTTCACACTGAGCACATGTGACAGACGTGACAGAGTCTGGAGACGCCGTGGAGAACGTTCTGCTGCCTGCAACATCCTCCAGCATGACCGGTTTGGCGGTGGGTCAGTAATGGTGTGGGGTGACATTTCTTTGGGGGGCCGCACAGC